TAATCTCTCTTTATAAGGACACCAGGTGTGTTTGGATGAACCCCCACCCCAGTGACTCCATTTATCCTTAATAGCCTCGTTATGGGCCCCATCTGCGTTTGTAGTCACATTTCAGGCACTGAGTATTAGTATTCCGTGCAGATATTTGGGGGGACACAGTTCAGCCCATAACAGCCATTATGATCACCATCCTCCTCCTCCTCCTCCTCCTCCTCCTCCTCTTCCTCACCAGCCATTTTGCCTTTGTCTTCACTCCCAACTGCCCTTTATTAATCACTCCGTGTGCACCCACTGAAGCCTCTTCGCAGTGACCTCATTTGATTACCGCAGTGCACCTGTAATCTGTTTCAGAGGATAAGAGCGTTGAGGCCCATCCCCCTTGTCATCTACTCAGGAAAGGTCCTCTTATCCTGTGCTGCCAAAGTGTCATCATCCCCCTTCCGCAGTTTGCAAACCAGGGGGCTGTCCTGCACCTGTCAGCTTGTAAAACCAAACACAGTTCTCCAAGTTGCTGTTAGGCTTTCTCACAGAGAAGTCCACAAGCCTTTGTCCAATCCAGATTCCCGCATGCTTGAGCGATCTGGGATTTCCCTGCACTTAGAAGGACCTGTGTGCTGCTCTCTGCTGTCCCCTGAAACCATCAGTGTTTCCCCAGCTCTGCGGGCCCAGAGGCTCCTGCAGATCCAGGACACCCCAGTGCTTCTCTATCCCTGTGTGTCATGGCTGCTGTCTCCTGTCCCCTGAAGCCACAGGTGATCGTGGACAGGACCCTTGGGGGATGACGGGTGACAGGGGCATACGGCTGACTTGCGGTGAGGAGGTGGGGTCTGGTGGGAAGAGGGGCTCACTGTGGCCAGGAGGGTTTCTCTCCTTGGTTCCCCCCTTCTCTCTGGGCTTCCTGTCCACTGTGCCAAAAGCAGCTCTCCTCTGTGACACTCCTCTGCCATGCTGCCCCGCCTTGGAGCTGGCTGACTCGTGATTGAAATGTGAGCCCAAATAAACCAGCGCTCCTGGAAGTTGTGAGTGTGGCGGGGGGCTATTGTGCCTCGGCGACGAGAAAGTGACTATGACACCGTGTTTACCGCTGCCACATCTGCTCACGCACCAGACCCGAGCTGCCACAGCCTGGTCTGGTTGGTGGTCAGGAAGGAAAGACAAACAGAACTTGTAACCCTAGAGGGACACTGGAAGCCAAAGAAGTAAAAGGTTTCATTGAGGCTTCTCATCTCCGCGTACCAGGCTGTGTTAGTGAAGGAACAAGAGCGTGTGTCGAGCCAGGTGTGGTGGTGCACAGCTGTAATGTCAGCCCACTGGGAAGCTGAGGCAGGAGTGTTGCGAATTTGAGTCCATTCTGGGCAAAATGGCAATTTAGTGAGAACTTGTCTCAAAATAAAAAATAAAAAGAGCTGGAGATGTGGCTTAGTGGGAAGGCCCTGGGTTCAATCCAGTAGCAACACCAAAAAAAAAAAAAGTATGTCTCTACTCTAGCAGATCCTAACAACTAATTCATCATTTATGGGACCCAATTTACAGGTGGCTGTAAACTGCCCTCAAATGTTGCTCCCAGGGCTATGGTTCATTCTACTGGAAAGAGGAGGTTCTCAGGTGGACTTAACCTGATCATGAGATGCTTCTAAGAGCAGAGGGGTGAGGGAGGCTTGAAGCAGCAGGAGGTCTGCTTGCCCCATTGCTAAAGAACCCTCTAGATGCTGAGAAAACTATCCACTCATGGCCAGCAAAAAGCCCAGGGGGAGCTGCGTTCTGCAATAACCCCAAAGAGCCAGGAAGCAGGTTCTTCTCCAATGGGCAGCCTGGTGGACACTGTGGTGATGAACCTATGGACGGCGGGATATTTGTATCATTGAAAGCTCTGAGAGATTCTCCATCACTGCTCTAGGAAGAGAACCCCCAATCCTGCTCAGAGTTCTGGCCTCCAGGACAAGGAGCTGGTTAGTAAGTGTGTGTTTTAAGCTGCTATATTTGTGATATTTTCTTGGGTGGCCATGAAAACCAGTCGGAGGCTCTGAGTGGGGAACAGGTGTGGGGACAACAGGTCTCTGCTCACCTGTGCTCAAGGTTAGACGTAGGAATCCTGAGGTTCAGGTGGAGGAGCTGGGTTGCAGGAGAGCCACAGGGGCCCCTCGGCAGTGGGTGATGGTGATAGTCCTGGGGACATGCAGGACCAGGCAGGGCTGCAGGGAGGATGCTGGGCAGGCTGATCCCGGGAGACCTTTCTTGAGTCACTGGGCCACATGGACGTGTCTGGGCTCTGGCTCTGTCGAGGGCTCCTCTGCCTGGCTGTCCTCTCTCCTGCTGTCCTGGCAGCACCTCCATCTCTCATTCCCCACCTGGCTCCATAAGGAATTTCCATCCCCTCCCTTCACTCCGTGCCTCTCAACCGCCAATGTCACCATGTCCCTGACTCTGCCTCCCCGTCCCCTTCCTGGACCCTCCATGTGGGGTGGTCTCACTCCCTCTAGGTGAGCTGCCCGGTGACCTGTCCCAGCCCCATGCCCAGAGGCTTCCATGGTTTGGATCACTGCTCCTCTTTGCAGTTTGCTGGGTCCTCCTCTGTGTGTTCAGCCCCTCATTGTTGGTGGCGATTCCTCAGGACCTGCGAGGTGCACAGGAAGGTGTGTTTACAAGATTTTGCTTTCTAGGAATCAACAGCTTCATTCTTATCCTCTCTCTGAAACTCGTGCTTGATGCTTTTCTTATCACGGACTCCACATTTCCACTGGCACCCAGATCAGCTTCTGTCCCTGGAGTGTTGCTGTCTGATATTTTCCTGTATGATTAGGCATATGATCCTCGACTGCTGATAGTTCAGTTTCTGCTGAGAAGAGGGTGGAGTGAGAGCGAAAAGGCTGGAGGGCTTTATTAAACACATGTATCAACTGCAAAATAGAAGCATTTGTAATGAGGCTGACAGGAGCAGTCGCAGCTCGGTGCGGCATAACCATCTGCTCTGCACCCGGCAGCGCGTCGCCCTGGGCACATTGAGGAGAGCAGAAGCCGTCTGCCCCGCTCCTCAGGCCCGGCCCTGCCCTGCCAGCCACAGTGGACACCGGCCAGGAGCTGCTTCTCACTCCGGCCCCAGCTCAGCTCTGGATGTGGATGTGAAGGGGATCTGTGTTGTCCCAGAGGAGCCAAGGCTGAAGAGCAAGGCTGTGTCTGTGGACAGGTCCACTCTGGGCCGGAGTGAGAGGGTGGGACTCCGGGGGGAAAACTAGTAATCATTAGTACTTGGACGGAGGCACAGTGACTCTTGGGTGTCTTTCCAGGCCCCTCCCCCAAGAGACCCAAATCCAAAGAGGTTCAGGCCCCTTGCATGCCATGTAGTTTGCCTAAGAGGCCACCCCACTGCCCTGCTCTGAGTCATCGCTAGCTGATTTACGCTGAATACCATGGGAATGCTGTGTCATGGTTGTCACAGCACATGGATTAGGGAATAGTGACAAGAAAAATAGCCCACACATACTCAATGCAGACTCAGTTCTCTGCTGTTTGATCTGAGCTTTGCGGGATTCTTGGGTGTGAAACTGGGTGGAGGTCGGCTCTGGATTACTTGCTGAGAGACAAGCTCACAGGCCTGGACAGTGGTCTCCCTTGAGTCCCAGGGGAGGAGAAGACTGATATCCATCAAGTAACGTCCACATCACTTGCCGAGCTCTATGGTTTGCATGTGAGTATCGTTACTCATGCTCCAGAGGCTGACTTTGGAATGGAAGGAGAGGCTCCAGCCTGAGCTCACATTTTTCCAAGTGACTACCCGGGGCCGGAGGCTGTGTTCTCTCCTCCTCACCTGACTCCCTGGTGGAAATGCCTCTGACTTACTTAGTTCCCCTGTAGAATGCACCTCAGCAGGGGTTGGTTGTTTTGGCCACTGTAGGCTTCATGTCACAGGCAGTGACCTGACTCCCTGATTCGGGAGAGGACTCTGCATTCTTACATATGGGAGAATGAAACTTGCAGAGCTCTACTGGCAGGACAGTGTACCTGTTGTTCTCTCCCTCTTCCTCTACCAAGAAGGACTTCGCTCCTCAGGGTGAGGGCTGCTCACAAGACAGCAGGCACCTCTGTGGTGTGTGGAGGGCCCAGGAGGGCTTTCTGCAGGATAAGGGGTGTGGAGGGATGGCCTTCCAGGAGGGGACACAGCAGGGTGGAGATGGGGCAGCTTGCAGCAGCACAGGGACTTTGGGGCCTGGGGCTGTGCTAGCTGGGGGTGGGTGACACCTGTCTTGTGCCCCTAGAAGCATCGTTTCCTAGGACACTGGTGGTTACAGGCTTTTCCTCTCCTTGACCTTTGGGGACTGAATGAGAGGTCAAAGTCAGGAATTTCTTCCCCCAGCAAGTGATTCTGGGAATGGGCCAGCTGGAGGTCAGAGAACCAGGCTTTTGCTGGGTTAACTGTTAACCCCACCTCTGTATTCTGAGCACGCTGGGCATTTGATAGCTCAGTGGATTCCGACTTGGGCTTGACTGGGACACCATTCAGCACAATTACCCTCGGTATCCTCCGTCGCGTAAGCTTAATACATAAGGAGCTAATTGTATTCACCGGCTTCCCCACATCCCTGCTCTGTTTATGGAGTGAACGAATCAATTCACTTCATCTCTGTAAATAACATGTCTTTTCTAGTTATTGGAAACTGGCTCTGATTCAATGCCATTGAGAAATATTTACCGAACACTTGTTATGTAGCAGGAGTGGTGTGTGACACTATGAATATGGAGATCTGGGCGTTCAATCATCCCTTCGGTTAATGAGTATTTATTGGATACTGTGTAGTAAGCACTCTGCTAGGTGCTAAGAGAACAACAGCAAAAAATAAACACAGCCTTTGACCTGGGCAGCTTGGAGTGTGGTAGGGAAAAGTGAACTTGGTGAAATATACCAATGCACGCAAAACTATTCAGAGTGGCTCATACAAAGAAAGCCTGGCTGCTCTGGGGGATTGCACAGTGGGGGCCTGGGATGTGGGCTGGATGTGGGAGTGGCCTCTGGGGACACAGAAGATGGAACAGAGCTAGAGTGCAGGGCTCAGAGAAGCACACTGGGGCACAGGGAGCAGAGCCACCATTCCAGGCAGGAAAGCAGCCCAGCTGGAGCGATGGGTGCAGGGCCGGGGCAGGAGAGGCAGCGGGATTCGCCTTCCTGAGGGAACATGGGTGCGTGAGGGAGTGAGCAACACCAGCAAGGCTGTGCTGCTGTCACACACAGGCCAGGCCAGGAGTGGCAGGTGACAGAAGATGGGCAAGACCAAGGTGGCCTTGGGGACACAGAAGGAAGAGACATGGAAGAGGCAAAATAGAGCCACCAGGTACATGGCTGAGAATCAGGTTGAGGGAGGAAGGAGGCCAGGTGGCGCTGCAGGATTCGAGCTCGTGGTTTGGGTGAATGTCACCCCCACTCATCCCAGGTTCCGCTGGATCTGTGAATTGGAGGTGGCTTGGATACAGAGGAGCGCCGGGGTGGCACAGCCTAGAGGTCAGCGACACCTTGGGTAGTCATTGGCATGTGATTGAAGCCTGTGGAGAGGAGAGACCGAGAGAACTGGAGAAGGGACTGAAGCTCTGAGAAGAGAAAGGTGGCAGGTTGGGAGCTGGAAGACTGTGGTACGGAGAGGTGGCGGACTGGCGTTTAGTGCTGGGAGGAGCTGCCCGAGCGGGCAGGTGCATCTGCGGTGCGGAGGGGACAGACACGCAGTAGAGAATGGTCAGGACAAGGAGGACAGCCAGATGGCCAGGAGGGTCAAGGCCAGGGTTGCTGGACGGTGCAGTGTGGAAGCAGGAGGGTGGAGGGTGCCCTCCAGGATGTGATGAGCTAGGAAGGTGTGGGTAGGGCCACAGCAGGAACGGCGTGGGCCCAGTGTCTCATCCTCCAGTGTGCACAGTCCCGGCCTGAAACAGGCAGGCAGGAAGGGGCCTCCAGGTAGCAACAGAATCACACAAACTGCAGTCTGGGTGTGACAGCACCATGGTCTTCCTGGAAAGGGGCCAGCATGTGCGAGAATTTAAAAATCTATGTACCTGATTGGTCCCTCCTCAGGGACCAAACATATCTCTTGTCTGTGTGCCGTTGCGAAGTTTTCAATGTGCCCCAAACACCCGTCCGGAAGAAAGTGGATGGCACTGAGCACCACACAGACCTCTTAGGGGTGGAGGCTACAATGGCAAAGGTAACACAGGTTAAACCGGAAGCCATGGAGGAAGTGGGAGGGCATGCAGCTGAAAGGGTTTAAGAAGCCACGCAAGGTTTGGCAAACTGATTTGTTTCTTTTTTTCTTTTTCCTTTGCAGTCAACTTTGACCATTTTCAGATTCTGCGGGCCATTGGTAAAGGGAGTTTTGGAAAGGTAAGAATAGTGCATTTTATTACAAAATTCATCAACAAAATATGAGATGTGACCAAAAATATGGGGAATTTTTAAATATAAAAAATGATTTTAGGCCTGGCGCGGTGGTGCACGCCTGTAATCCCAGCCACTCAGGAGTCTGAGGTAGGAGGATCGCTGTGAGTTCGAGACCAGCCTAGGCTACACAGTGAGTTCCAGGTCAGTTTCAACTACATAGTGAGACCCTGTCTCAAAAACCAAAAAAAAAAAAGACTTCAGTGAAAGACACATTGCCATTAATCTTCCTCATTTCAAACACTCCATCATTCTTGGCAATGTATCTCTCACTGTAATATGGTTTTTTATATAAGCATTAATCTTATTTTTCATTCACTCATGTATGAAAGTCTAGACTAGGCTTAAGTGTGTGTGTCAGTTTGTGTCTGTTTTGATGTCTGTTTCTAGGCACAGTGAATTTCCTGTCCACAGAAAGATTTCAATTTGACAAATCAGAAACGTGAAAGGAAGTCTGGATGGTTTCCTTGGGGTCTGGTGTAATTTTATTCTGAAAATTAAATTGCCACAGCAGCCCTGGTTTAGGAGAATGATAGTGATAATTATTTTAAAGTTGCTAATGCTAGGTTTTCCTCGGGAATCTAAAAGAAGAAAGTAGAAATAAGAGCCCACAAACTGATCGCAAAAGTAGCTCTTCCAGCAGCATGAGTGTTTAGTGTTTAGTGTTTCGTGTTTGTGATCTTTGATTACTTTGGGTGAAAGTCTACAAAAATTGAGAAGGCTGGGGGCTTTTAGAAAGTAAAAGTTTTCCTAAAAAAAAAAAAAAAGTAGTTTCATGAGAACCTTTTGAATGCTAGGTTTTCTATGCTATTTAAATAAGTATTATTGTTATTTCCATTTTACATGTAGAATAACTTAGATGCAAAAACTGAGCCTTAGTAATTAGAGGAAACAGGGACAGTGTACCCATGGCCACACAAACAAGAGGTCTCCAAGCTGGGATTTGAACCCAGGGCTGTTCAGTGACTAGGGGCATGCGGTGTCAGCAACCCCATATCTCCCCCAGAGTGTGCAAAACTTACAGGCTTCAATTGAGACATTTGACCCAAGAAATTGAATAGACTCAAACAACCCCTCTCTCCTTTTTCTTCTTCCTCATTCATTAATCCAGTCTAGGACTATTAATTGAATGCATACTTTGTACCAGGCACCACAGAGCCTTTTCTCACCCATCATTTTCCATTTAGAAAGGAAAGAGCTGGCAAAAAGATGAATATGGACATTTATGGTGTGCTAGGCAGTGATCAGTGAATATTAAAAATACAATAAGGGGGTATATGGAGTTCTGGGTGGGGAGGGGCAGGAGGGAGTTGCTGTTTTATAAAAGCTGGGCTGCCAGTTGGGTCTCCACTAACCACATGTGAATATTGAAATTTAATTAATTAAAGTCATAAAATGACAGATTCAGCAGCCCCTCCACAGCACTGGCCAATATCAAGTGCTCAGCAGCCGCGAGTGGCCCATAGCTGCTGCCAAGAAAGACCCTTTCCTAATGGTAAGACGACCTGTAAGCAGAGCCCTGAGGGCAGTGACAGAAGTGACATGCAGGTTCCAGGCAAACTTGAAGGCTCAAGTGCAGAGACCAGGGAAAGGGGTGTGCTTGGCAGTGCTGAGGGGCTTCCATGCAGTGGGGTGCCGGGATGTGGGGTGAGGGGTCACCCCAGACTGGGTTGTGGCGGATCTTGCTGGAGGCGGTGCACATGTTGGTTGTTTCTCAGAGGGACAAGGGTAGGCCCTAGGGGGTTCAGATGTAGGAGCAGCACCTCTTTTTGTGGCTGTGGAGGATCATTTTGGCTGCAGTGTTGTGCAGAGCCTGGGGGTGCCAAGGGCAGAAGCGAGGAGCAGCAAGAAGACCCCTGAAGTACCCAGGTGGGCTGGTGGCTCAGGTCATGTGTTGTGCTGGAGATGAAGTACAAGATGTATTTTTGGCTGGAGTATAGATATATTTTTGCAGGTGTGACCAAGTCCCACAGTCCACAGATGCAGGGTTTCTGATGGTTTCAAGAGGTTGCCCAGGTTCTATGTGTCACACTGTCACCCGACTAGGACTCACTTTGTGACTTTATAGTGACTGTCCACCCCAGAATCCCCCAGCAGATTTCTCCTCTCTCACTGGCTATAACTGGTCACATGACCACACCTACCCGCTGAGAATGCTGGGAAGTGAAGCCTCTTTGTTCAGCCAGATGGCAGCAGGCAAGCTCTTTCAGTGGAGAGGGCGGGAGAAGAGCTGGGGTTACCAATGCCGTTGGGATGTGCAGTATGCTTGCTGTGCTTGCTGCTTGGGAAGCCAAGCTGAGTGAGGTGGGTGCGCCCACAGCTGCTGGCTGGACCTTAGCAAAGCTGTTCTTTACTTCTGTTCTTGACCCTCCCTAGTCCATGCTGGCCTTGTCCTCCACCAGAGCTCTTCCAAAAAAGTGTTTCAAGTAGCTAATTTGTCTCTGGATACTTAACTGCAAATCCACGCCCTCCCCATAGAAGCCAGGTCTCCCTCGGAGCCACACTCACTCCACCTACACTGAGTCCGGCTGTGCTGTGCAGGGACTTCCGAGGCTATGCATGGTATCTTTGGGCAGCAAGGATTCCTCTCTTGGAGTACTTGCCAGCATGGTCATTGTGAGTGCAAGGTGGCCAGGCACAGTGTGAACTGCAGCACTTCCACTGTCAGGCAGATGGGTCACAGATGCTGACCGATCCAGGCCGAGCCTCACTTTGAGTCTGTGTGTCACCACGACGTGGGCGTGTCCTGTCTTCTGCACAGGGCTGTCATGCAAAGTAAGTGAGATGGAGGAGGGGAGTGCCCGACATGGATGCCATGCCAAGGTCCCACACATGCGATCTCTTTTGCCTGGGGTACTTTTGCCCCTGGACAGTGGCAAGGGAGGAAGTGCAGACTTCATACTGGGAGTGCTGATTTGATGTGGCGTGGGAGCTTCTGCTTGGAGAGGCCTGTGGTTGTACAGGAAGGTGGCACGGGTCAGGCAGGGCTGTGGTGTACATTAAAGTTCCCAGAGCATCTTGCCATGCTGACATCTGCCACTGCTGATAAATGGTGGCCCGGAACAAGGACCAGCAAGGCTCACAGCCTTGCATGACACTCATTGTTCTTGGAAGTACTGTCATTCTTGGCTTAACAGCAGTCTTTATGCTGTCTCTGAATCTGTTTTCTCTAGTTATCACCAGTTATTCTCCAGTTATTGTGTGGATTTGATTGAATATTAGCTACAGTATGTTTGTTCATTCTTACATTTACTCATCCATCCATCCATCCATCTATCCAACCATCCATCCATCCACCCATCCCATCCCATCCATCCATCCAGCATACACGGGGCAAATGTGCTCAGATCCCATTATAGGTTCTAAGATTACAAAATCGAATCAGGTGTTGCCTGCTCTGTATCAGTTCAGTGTGAAAGTTTGCAAATATATAGTGAAATTGGAACAATTTTATAGTGGACACCCATATCCACTCTGTATAATCTACAATTATCATTTCACCAAACGTACAGTATACCTATCCTCTACCCATCTATCAGTCCATTTTGTTATGTCTCAGTGAACTGCAAATATCTGTACACTTCCCTGAAAGTATTTCAGCATAGAGGTTTGCATATAGTTTTTCTTTTGGTGTAAAATGTGCATACAATAAAATGCACAAATTTTGGCTTTTGACAAATGTATCTTGCTGGGTAGCTGGAATCCCTACTGGACTCTAGGATATCCGAAATCCCATTTTGATCCTTTCCAGTCAAAACCCGTCCCCAGCTTGACCACCACCTCCACTACAGCTTAGATTTGCCAGTTGTAGTAGTTGCTATGAAGTCAAGCCACACAGTCACGTTCTTTGCGGTACGGTTTTGGAGGTTCATCCGCATTGCTGAGTAATGACACTTTCCTCTTCCTATCAGCGAACAGGATTCCATTTTATTAATAGCTCACAGCTTGTTGCCCCATGCTCATCACAATAGACTCCAGGACTTTTTGTAGCTTTAACTGTTTTGCCTAAAGTTGCTAGGAAACTGTGCAGAAAGAAGTCTTTGCTGGTGGGCATACGATTTTATTTCTCTCGGGCAGATAGGACTGGGATGTCTGGATCATAGACTAATGTATATGCTTCATACAGCACTGTTGAGTTTGCGATGTGGTTAGACCATTTTATTCTCCCAAGGCAGGAGAATTCCTGGGCAAGTTTGAGCCCAGCCTGAGCAACTTAGGAAGACCCTGTTTCAAAGTAAATAATAAATATGGGGGTGTACTTCACTGCAGAAGTCCTAGGTTCAATCTCCAGTACCACAGAGAAAAGAGTCCTATTTGTTTCATTCTTTGCCAACATATGGTGGTAATTAATATTTTTAATGCAAGTTATTCTGATAAGTATTTTGTAGTAGCTCAGCATAGTTTTAACTTGGATTGGCCCTGAAAATGATAACCTTTTTTCATGTGCTTAGGGACCAGTCATATATCTTTTATTTGTGACCTGTCCATTCAAAACTTTTTAAAAAATGAATTGTGTTTTTATTATGGAGTTATGAGATACATTTTCTGATATAGTCCTTTGTCAGTTATGTGAGTATTTTCTGCCAGACTGGCTTATCTGTTAATTTTATGTATGAATCATATATATCTATCGATAGATAGAGTTGTTTTTTTTTAACCAGGGATCAAATTCAGAATCTTGCGCTTGCAAGGCAGGCAGCAGCACCACTGAACTAAATCCCCAGCCCTGAATGACATATTTTGATGCACAGAAATTTTTAACTTTAATGAGGTTTTATTTCTTGAGTATTTTTCCTGTTAAGATCATTGCTTTATGTAGTTTGCGGAGGAAAATCTGGCTCAAGAAAACATACTGAAGTCATGAAGTTTTCTATATTTGCTTTCTAGAGATTTTGTGGCTTTAGCTTTTGGTCCAGTGATTGATCTTGAATTAATTATTTTGTGTG